TCTTGTGAGCTTAGAAGCCTCCGAGGTGAGGTACCCCCACAGCACTGCACCCAGTAACTCCAAGAAGGCACCCTGAACTGTCACTTGGCACATATGTGTAAACAATATCAGGACTCAATCCACAATGTGAAGGTACAAGGAAGCAACGTTCTTGTCTACTGGGAAAAAACAACATACAGGCAGCAAGATGATACAAGCATACCCGCTCTGCCCACCGCCCACTGCTACCTGACACACATTGCAGCCAACCACTTCACCACCTCCTGCGGGTGGTGGACCCAAACAAAGGCAGGCCCATGTTGCCAGGTTGGGGCACTCAAACTCGCTCCCCAGGCTGGCTTCAGGGTGGGGCCCAGGCAGGGGACACTGGACCCTTGATTTCTTTTTTTCTTTTTCAAAGAGGTCGTCTGAATTGCTCTTTGTTGGATGCTATCAGGGGGCAGAATCTAAGAAGAATGTACCCCCTGGATCCCATCTTAATGCCAGGTTCCATTCACAGTACACGAGCACATTAAATATTAAAAGATGAAACCGTCAGACAGTTTAACAGGAAATTGCTACACAGTAACATCAACATTGGTTTTTATTGATTTATATTTATGGATTTAACTCTTGAATTTTTCTTAAAATCAGAAACATATAGTTTTATTCCTGAACCTGTTTTATTCTGTCTCTGGAAGTATAGCCACCAAAAAAGTGTAGTAATACATTACTATAGTATTGACTTTAAAGTACTTGTCCATCTTAAGCTTAATGACCAGCTATTTGTTTTTTCCACTCTAGAGAGGGTTAGAGGGTTAGGGTTAGTTTCTCTGTTTCTTCTCTGCATGCTCAACATTTAATGCTGTGAAAAACACATTTCATTTCCGTTTATGAGGACATGGCTTTTCTCCTCTCAAATACTTGTGACCATATTAGCAGCAGCTCTACCTGCCTAAATCTGTTCTTTATTATTGCGCCTTAGTTTCTGCTTTTAGAAATTCTTTCTGAACACGAGGCTTATTAAACCCAGGTGTGCTGCCACATTCCTAAAACTGTCACAAAACAACAGAGAGCTCTTTATTTACTTTTTGTAGTTTTACATCAGGTGTTTACATCATTCATACTTCATGTACACTTTCCTCCAGTTCACTAAGTTTGTTGTTGTTGTTTTTTAATAATATAGTCTATAATATCAATGCATTTCTTTCTTTTGTGTATATTCTGGGTCTTGATTTTTCTCCTATCACTATATGCAATCATGGAAAATTGTCCCAGAAGCCTCGGGGAGCACATCGTGTTAGTTCCTTTGGTTACTCATAGTTCCAGCCCTCCTCTTTCTAACTAATTTTATTTTTACCCAGAATGTTTCTTATAGTGGAGCAAGGTACCTTTTAGCTAAAGCTTGAGATTCCTGAATACTTTCTGAAAATTCATTTAGTTATTACAGCATGCCCCGAGTAGATCTGTCCAGCTTCCAGAAATGCCTTTTTAATGAGATACAACAGTTTCTTTAAATTTTAATGGAGGGATTTTTTTTATTTGTAGCAAGTTTGTGGTGGGCTAATGGTAAGGTATAGCTGGAAGCAATCAAGCTGGAATTTATCTCGTTGGTTTGTAAGCTTTTCTGCATTATCTGCAGGCTCTACCAGAATGTTCTCTTTACTGTTGCAGTAGTGATGCTTCATTAAAGACACAGGGAAATGTCACAGAATAGCGGTTAGCTAACATTCATGTCAAACTCTTCACTTTGCTCAGTGCTCAGCTGTTTGTTAGCCAGTTGTAACCAAGTTTCACAAAAACAACATCAGCAGTAAAATGTATTTTTGTGTTTAAACTGTAGCTTTGACTATACCTTTTTATTTTCACACAATCGACAGCATAACTTGGAACATAAATGAACTGTAAAAATAGCAACTCTCTAATTATAGCTGATTTCTGTTTTCAGGTGTCCCAGTACGCACTTCATTTATAACACGCTATAAAAAAATTCCAGATCCCTGCTTTGTTTCAGATGCTGGTTGTGAGCACAGCAGTCCCGCTTACCTGCAGTTCAAATCTTCGGTTTGCATGAGGCAGCCAATCACAAGGATGCTATAAGGACACAGCATGTCTTTATCCTGTCTTCCTTCTCTCACCCCAACCAATCACAGCAGATGGCCCCGCCCCTCCCTGAGCCTGGTTCTGCTGGAGGTTTCTTCCTGTTAAAAGGGAGTTTTTCCTTCCCACTGTCGCCAAAGTGCTGCTCATAGGGGGGTCATATGATTGTTGGGTTTTTCTCTGTATCTATGAAGCGTCTTGAGGCGACTTTTGTTGTGATTTGGCGCTATATAAATAAAATTGAATTGAATTGAATAAGGGAATGGGGGCGGGAGCTAAAATGGCAGATAAGACTGCATCAAGATAAATGAGGATTATTTTGAACTGAGTCATGCAAAGCCACTGTATTAGGATGAAAAAATACAGAACAGGAAACGATAAGAGGTCCTCTTTGAAGGGTCCACTCATTTCAAGAGCGATTCTTTCTGTGATTTGACTTTTTAATTAATTACTGTTGTGTGTCTTACTGAACTGTGCTGAAGTCAATCTTTCACTTAGAATACGGCTTTGTATTAGTTTAAGTTTTCATATATAGTTTTGGTATCTATTTATAAGAATCGTCGGTCCTTTATGTTTGAAGTTCATGATGTAGTCATTGGAGAGTGTTGTACTGGTGAGTGCCGCATCACTGCCACTGTCTCCAGAGCTGTAGTGTCTGATACAACTGATTTCTTTCTTTATCTTGCCTGAGTGATACAAAACAAAAACAACAACAACCACAATTTTCTTGTAGTGGTTTTTACATTCTGTGTCCAGCAGGGTGCAAGATTACAGCAAATTTTACAGCAGTGGTGATTTAAGCCCAGACAAATTTTCTGGGATACTGCAAATGATTTCCCTGTAAATGGATGCATGTGCAAATGCAAAGATATAATATTGTCTATTGTATTAAAGTCTATTGTCTCTGTCTCCTTTCCTGTAATCCTAACAGGAAGACCAGCTTCCTTTTTCCTGCACAAATCCGTGAGTTTTAAGACAGACTGCACTCCGGCACACAGCTGGTGCTTCTGCATGCTCGCTGTAGTAATATATTCAACCACATGATCCAGTATAAATGGATAAGACAATAATTCTATATTTGAAACCCGAGCCACTGGTACGTGACATGACATAAAATAAAACAATAAGTCTTTTGGGGTTTTGTTATAGGAATAATCCACCATCATTATACAATCCTACTGCCACCATAATTATCCCACACAAAAGACAAATTAAACACTTTTCACAACCTCACAACTTGGTTACTCGAAGGGAAACTATTATCAGCTGGCTTGTGGTCTTAACTGATATGTCGCATTGCTTCATAAGCACTTTATGATCAGTAAGGCTGTCACTGAACCCACGTTTTGTTTGTTTGTTTGTTTTAATCAGTCTACCTTCAGTGTCAACATAAATCGTTACTCTTCCGACCGCACGGGAAAGCAGCAGTGCTGAGTTCACGCCCCTGGGTGAAACCCCTCCTTTCTCTGTGAATGTGCGGAGCGGAGCGTCGTGTGGCAGTACGGTGCGTGTGTGCTGGAGGTACCGCAGAGGTTTCTGGATATACCATTCACACTCTGAGGTGGAGCTCAACCACTTTTGGATATTGGCTGTTTTTTCTTCTTTTTAAAAACTATTTTAAGGTAATTTTTTTTGTTTAACCGGTTTGGGTTCGCGGTGTGAATTAATCACTGTTCCAGTGACAAGATGAGACAAAAAGATTACAGAAATTATTGAATTAATGTTGTTGGTGCAAAATGTTTGTAGACTAGTTATCGGGACACTTTTGCGCGGACTGTTTTGTGCGTTTCACTGATAACTTAGATATACTTAAGAAACGAGGTTCAATGTCAGAAAACAGCAGTGAGCTAACGTTAATACAAAACTCTTTGCTCGGTGTGCAGCTGTTCATTAGCCAGTTATAATCAAGTATCGCTCAAACTGGTCAAACTGTGCCTAAAGGGCAAAGTCAGCAGACAAATGCATCTTTGTGATATCAACTTTAA